TAGCGGCGCATCGGGGCCAGAAGGCGTGGCGCATGGAGCCCCAGGGGTGTGCCAGGTCGGTTCCGAAGAGTGTCTTGCCCGTCTTGCCCGCCTGGAAACCCGGGGCTTGGCGGGTGATCTTGAGGTTGACAACGGCCCGCTCGTCATTGTGACTCTTGATAGTATAGTAGGTGCCATCCTCGGAGAACTCGAGAGCACAGTCGTCGGCGTAGAAGCTGGCGTTATCCTCGCTAAAGCTGATGTTGTTCAGAGGGGTAGAGCACCACAGGTGTGGTTTCGCAGGGTCGCTGGAGAAGATCTTGACGTTGAACTGGGCGGTGACTCGAATACCACTGTTATGGAAGGTTGTTAGCTGATGGAGGAGGAGATACGGTTTATTCTTGGGGTGCGACCGTACGCAACGTTGCTGTAAATGACCTGGGCCATGGCGACATGGCCATTGTCAGAGGTGAGATAGAAGGTCTCGGTCTCGACGTTGGTGGAATCCATGCGCTGCCATTTCAGATCATCTCTAGCGAGCTCCGTGTATTTGGTAGACTTGGCCTCTTCGGCGACCGATCGGATGGCTGAAGGGCCATAGATGGGCTCTTGTGTCCCGGCCACATTGGCCAGCCTAGTGCAGTTGCGGTCAGTATCAAGAGAATGGAGGGGGAGGTGGGATGCGGGATGCGGGGGCAGGAAACGCAGGCGGAAGGCGGTGTCTTTCTTACTGTTGCTTTGCCCAGTTGAACATGGCGAAGTGGCTCGTGGTGATGGGTATTTGGTAGAGGTGATGGGATCTTTACAGTGAAAAGATGAAAAGAAGGAACATCTGCTTATTAGTCCGTCCGGGTCGGCCTAGGGAGGGTCTTGCATGCTTTTTTGGCCTTGCCTTTGCAGTGGTACCCAGAAATACCTGAGGTTGCTACCACTCACAACAAGCAGCTTCTTACGTTAGTAGCAAGTGGAGAGATCATCTTACGACATGACAGAAGTTTATTAGTGCATTCATCTACATACTGGTTGATCCTAGCATCCTAAAGAGCCACCAGAATATGCCGAATTTAATGCAGACGGATACATGTGAACTTCGGCCATGTAGAAAGGGTACAGGAACCCGAACCCCAACCCCTCGATCTGCATGATTCCGCCTATGACGCTTGCCGTGGTGTATGGTGTGGGGCAGCCCGACAGCCCGACTTTGGTCCCAGTCTGTGGTCAGCAGAGATCTTGAATTTGCAGGACCTTGTGTCACTTTATCAGGCCATAAAGGGGATGGGAGGTTGGCTATCTAGGTTAATCTTTGACTGCCACCAGGATCAGCCACATGTTTACAGCGTGGGTGCTGCATGCCGAACAAATCCCATCCGTCCTATCTCAGGGGTGCAAAATGGCAGGCAATTTCTTATCCAAAAGGGCTTGGATGCTGATGTACCTCAAGGTAGCACCAAGAGGCGGTGGGCTCCATGGCATGAGGGGGACATCACACCCATACGGCATGTCATAGACCCATCATATATACGTAAACTGCTTGCGGCTCTTCTCACAGCGCGATAGGCGGCTCCGGCCAGTCGGTGGGCGAACGGCTCTAAACAAACAGCTAGAAGCAGCGAAGGTATCTGGGATCGGTGCTGGAGTGTTTTGTGGCGTTCTCCTATTCAGTCGCCTTTACCTAATCAATTTTAGCTGCTGGATTACCATTTTAGTGGGGTGATTGGCTCCTGCAGCGCACGATGTCACCACCTAAGCAGGTGTTTCGCGCCCACCCCAGCGCGTCCACTCGGAGCCAATAATTCGTGCCATTATCCTATCCAACTTCACATATTTTCTCCGACTTCTCCTGTCAACATTAATTAACTTTGGCGACTGCGACACTCTCCTTGGCAACCCCCACGCACAATCGCAACAGAGTAACGAAGCAACTCACTCGGATTGTAATCTATCCACGCCTTGTGTCTAATCCTTAATCCGGTCGATATACTCGCAACCTCTTCGCCTTCGGTCTTTCCAACCAGCTTCATCCTGGCTTACCGATAGCAGCCTCGAACTCCCGATCAATTCCCTCAAATACGCGTGGCTTCTCCTTGCCAACGAGTTCTAGACATGGAAGAAGGACCGCAATCTCTGCCGCCCCCGTCTGTTGACCCGATATCACGACCAAGTTCGACCTCGACCTCGGCATCTGCTGCTGTTGCGCAACTCCCAGGAATTTCAACCCTTGCGACCAGCGCTGCTGCGGCCGACGCATTGCACCAAAGGTACTATCCATACGACGTTTCCCATCACTTCTGCAGCGCATTGCCTCGCGGGCGAATGGGATCGATTTGTTAGAGGGTCGCAATTCAACGGGCAGCCTTCAAAAGTCCAATCGCTAACACATTCGCATAGCGCTTCGGCGGCTGTCTCTCACGCACACATTGAACCTCAACTTCAACCCGAAGCGGCATCGCAACCTCACGACCAATCTCAACAGCATATTCAGCCTCCTGTAGCACCACAGCAGCACCCTCCCGCGCAACCTCAGCAACCTTCCTATCACGGACCTTCTCCAGGTGCTACGACTGGGGGGCATGGTAATGGCTTGGTAAGTTGATTGCTTATCCTTTATCGATTCCCCTTATCTTGTTTCTTGCTATCGTCATTTCCTTTTTTTTTTTTGCCATGTCCCGCAAGCGTGCTGTATTTCGTTCCCTGGCAGGCTATTCCCAATGCGGAATGCTCCATATTTCGCTCCTTATCTGTGGAATCACGTGCGTATCTGGGCTTTATCAACCACTTAGGTGGCCCCAATTACCTGCATGCCTTATCTTTCCCCATCCTTATCTCTCAGTTTCCACTCTGGATGGGTCGAATTTTTTGCGCTCGCACCCTGTCCCTCGGCCTCTCTTATCAGGATCGCGATAAATCGCATTATCAATCTACGCCCCGACCTTACCAGCTCACCCCAACCCCGACTGCTTGCTCTCTATTTCACCCTTTGATACACTCGTCACAATGATGGCCTCTAACGCATCCTCGCAGCCAACGTGTCAGAACTGCAGTACCTCAACAACACCATTATGGCGACGTGACGAGTTTGGCTCGGTCCTCTGCAATGCTTGTGGCCTCTTCCTCAAGCTGCATGGCCGACCCCGGCCGATTTCGCTCAAGACAGATGTCATCAAGAGCCGTAATCGCGTAAAGACAATGCGCACAGATTTGGCGCCGAAGAAGAAGGTAAACATACCCATTGACGCCGTACCCCTCTCCCTCCAAGAGTGGTGGCTGCATCTGTCGCATCCCTTCTGTGACCATTCTCCCTCCAATCAACTTATCGCCCGCGATTGCTAACTCGTAATGGCAGATGAATGCGCAGAACAACCAAGCCGCACGAAGAAAATCAGCGAACGGTATGATCGATGGGCATGACTCCCCAATCTCGCGGACGGCAACACCGGGACTCTACAACCAGTCCCTGCCATTTATGGTGGATGACCCGTATGCCTCAACTGGTGTATCCGGGTTTGCACCTGGGGATGGGACAGGTTCTCCCCTCAATGGCGACAGGGGCCTTGATGCGCCACAGACACACGAACAGCTTATCGCGCAGAATTCCAGTCTGAAAACACGTGTGAGCGAGCTTGAGTTCATAAACGAGCTGTTCCGAGGTCGTCTCAGTCAGTTGGAGCAGCAGGAGGCAGCAGCGGCTAGAAGAGATCAAGAGGCGACCGGGCTTGATCCCACCCAGTCCAGGTCCACGCTGGAAATTAGCCAAGAGAATGAGCAGCAATTGCGCGTCCAGCTCGATGACAGCCATCGTAGGGAAAACAGCCTGAAAAGACGCCTGGATGAGATGGAGCTAGAGTTGAAGGCGCTCAAGGATGCGGCCGAGATACCCACCGAGAGACCAGCCAAGAAGGCCCGCATGCAAAGTCCCTCGGAAGCGCAAACGGAGGCACAGCCAGAACCACAACCTGAGCGCAACGTTGAACCCCAACCCGAGCCCCAAGCTGAAGCTCAAATAGATCTCCAGCTCAGTGAACAACCTGAAGAGCAGCCCGAAAAGCAACTAGAGCGCGAGGCAGACCAGCCCGAGCCTGAAAACAAGGAGACCTCTGACGTAAAAGCTGAGGCAGGGAACGAAGAATCTTGAAGAGATGGTATAACCCTCCCGTCCATTGATCTGACATTGGACGAGTAGGGTTCCAGAAAATGTGCCGTCCTGTTCTTACTATTTATTATATAATACCCCATTCGAGATACGCCCTGAATGATTGAAGACGTCACAATGGTCGTTTCTTTTCTACATGTTTTCTTTTTTCTTCGTTATTTGCTCCATATGTGACGACGGCGGGAGGATACAGAGGGGTCGGTTGGCTACGGTTGTCTTGTTGGCTTTTGGCGCTTGGTGAACTATTCCGTGTGCTTCTTCAACAGCACCAAATACGAGTTAGCTGGGGTCATGGAACGTTGGCGCAATGGTTGGTATCAAAACAATTAAACTCTTGTAATTTTACACCATGACTTTTTAGTGGCGTTCTTCATCGTCGTCGGCATTGACCTGTCATTTACCTAAGTGCACTACCCCGGGACTAAGCCCAGACATTTGATCGTCTCGATAAGGGCTATCAGACCTTGGCAACAAGATATCACAAATCAAATGAAGATTTGTCAAATAAAATCTAACCCCAACCGGCTGAGGTCATGAATTTCCCTCATCTGCCAATACCCGCGAACGTAGAAAACGCGTGCAAGTTGTCCGGGTGATCACGTGGGCGTTGTTGTTGCTTGCAGCACCAGCACGGATTAGTCATCACAGGCAACAACGGCCGTTTGGCACTGCGAAGGCCTTCCCACGGCGACCAACAGCTTTGTGCAACACAACACAACATCCGCATTCTAGAAAACCGTGGAAACCCAGTTTGTGTCCTGGGGGAATCCTCGTCTCTCATCCTCGTGCTACGATACGCAGTGCCAAAAGTGTACCCTCCGCCGCGCTTAAACATTACCCTTTTCATTTCGCTGCATTTACGCCCCCCATCATGCCTGTCAGTGTGCCCAGCCGAGGAGGACCAGGCGGTGGTAAGAAAGGCACTGCGGCCAAGACCATACCGGGGCGAAAGAGCACCTCGGGGAAGGTTCCACTGGGATCTTCGCGCCATCGGTAAAGATTTATTTCTGAGTCCTTATTTAAACACTTTGAGTTGACGATACTAACCGTGGGCTTCTTCTTTTAGGAAGGTTGTCCGAGACAGCATCAGAGGAATCAGTAAGTATTTTTTGCCCACTCACTCTCAACGCGTCCGCCTTGCTAACTAATTTTTTTTCAAGCACGCCCTGACATCCGGTATGTTCTCATGAGACACTTGTGTCGCTGGGGAAAGTACTAACGTCGCGTGTTCGCAGCCGCTTAGCTCGTCGCGGAGGTGTCAAACGTATCTCAGGCAACATTTACGAGGATTGTCGCAAAGCTCTCAAAGATCATTTGAGCGAGGTATGATTTCCCTCTTGAGAAAGCCAGTCACGGGTTTGGTTGGACTAATCAAAACCGCTATAGATTCTACGCATTTGCGTCATGTACGTTGAATATAGGTCGGCGAAGACAGTCACTGTCAACGACGTATGTACACATCCTTATTCACCTCACTCTTTTGCAGCCAAAAGACTAATTTCACTAGGTCATCTACTCGCTCCGCCAAATCGGTCGTCCCATCTATGGCTTCGACCCTGAGATGGACCGCAAGAAGCTGCGATCCATGCCCTTCCAGGACGCCAGGGAATAGGCGCGTCCCAATTCACTGCTTCTCAGCCGTCGGGCTCGGTGTTCTTTTTTCTGTTGGCGGCCTTTTGTGTTGGCTTTCAATATCTTCAGGATGTGTTTTTTGTGTTTTTGGGAGTTGAGTTTTTGAGTTTGAAGGAATTTGGACTGGCATGATGAGCTTGATCTTTGCATTGTCAGGAGTTTGATAGCAGGTTGTCACTTTTTCATACCATGAGACGCAATTTAATGAAGTAACGACTGTTTAATTTCAAATGGGTATCTCAAACAAAACAAGGAAATCTAGCAGGTGTGCTATGTAAACCAAAGTTAGGACGCCGTGTGCGTCCAATCCTCCGTCACTGTATCGTCTGCCCTCTCGATACTCTCAAGCCCACCCCAAAAGCCAACATGAGACCAGCTCTTTCACGGCCGAGGCCTACCAACTATGCACCGGGGCGTTCCCTAGCAACTTTTCTTTCTTTTTTTTCTTTTCTTTTTTCTAATTGTTTATTCACCTCTTTCTCTTGGTGCTCTCCCACTCGGACACGGCGGTCTGCAGAGCCTTGGTCGCGAGAATCTCGTCCCTGCGGAAGGAGCCATTGAACATGGCAGGCAGGACCATGGTGCTGTTCGCGTGCTCCTGGGCGAAGCCAACCTCGGCATCCCGGCCGCACTTCTCCCTGGTCACCTTGATGGCCGCCTTGAGCAGGTCGCTGCCGACGCCCTCGCCCCGGAACTTCATGCGTGTGGTCCAGGCGCGGATGACGCCCCGGCCGCCCCTCTTCAGCGCCGCGCCGCGGCTCTTCTTCTTCCCGACCAGGCTGGGGTTGGGCTCGAGGCGGAGGACGAGGGCCCCGATCAGGGAGCCGCCGAAGCGGGCGCCCAGGACGACGTCCTCGGCGCCCTCTGCGCCGCTGCCCCCGTTCATCCAGGACCACCAGTTGGTCTGCTCGGCGAGGCGGATGTAGCCGCTGGTGAGGTAGCGGACCAGGAGGATGTAGGACATGGTGACGCCGCAGGCGACGATGATGCAGCTGCCCAGGTCGGATTTGGTGCCGAAGGCCTGGTAGAGGCCGGCGAGGGTGGCGGCGTACCCGGCGAGGCAGAGGGGGTGGAAGAGGACGGTGCTGAAGGCGCGCTGGTGCATCTGGGCGACGGAGTCGGCGACCAGGCGGAGGCCCTCTACCTTGTCCTCGGTGGTCTCGAGGGGCTCGAGGGACAGCGGCGGGATGTCATCGTCGAGAGGGAGTGAGTCCAGGCTGCAGGCCGATGGAGTCGGCGAGGGAGGGGAGCGCTGGCGACGACGGCTGCCAGTGCTGCCGTTGCTGCTGATGCTACTGGTGCTGCTGCTGCGGCTGTGGCGGAGAGTAGAGGCGCTCGGCTTGGTGAAGCTAGCGGGGAGCGAGGCGGTGGTCTGCATGGGTTCGAGCTGCGGGGTGTTGGCGCAGGACGAGGAGCTGAGGACAAGGTTGGCCCTGAGGAAGGTGAAGAAGGCTGGATGACAAGGATCAGAGTTAGCCAATTGGACGTTTCTTTTTCGTTGTTGGTGCTGCCGCTACTGCTGACGGGCATGGACTATGGCATGGGGAATTGCTTCTTGGCTTGCCGAGCTGAGCAAGTGGAGCGTATCTCGAAATGCCAAGGTCGTTGGTAGGACGAAGGTGAGATGTTGGTGTAATTGCCTTTGCATCTATGGTTCCCTCACGGGTGGGGCCGACGCACTGCTGTGCCAAATATAAAATAATATAGGGCAGTGACTGTACTTTGGACCCGAGCTGCATGCAGGGATGCCTCATTGACGAAAGAAATTTTTCGTGCCAAGGCGTTTGGGAGGAATGGGAAGATGAGGGCAACCAACGCCATGTCTGACTGTAGCAAGCGCCAACTGTAACTGTCGGTTGCGAGCGAACGGATTCAGAATGTCTTGAATCGTTTGTGCAACCAGCAAACGGCCGCTATTTTTAGGGCTCTTGAAGAAGCTGCAAGAAAGACCCTTGACCCGACTAGTGGTGTTCGATTGGGGAAGGAGCAAGGGAAAGCAATATCAAAAAGGCAGATCGAAATATAAAAAATGAAATTTTTTGAAAGCAGCCGAAAGAAGGAAAAAATAATGACCTACCAGTGCTGCCCTTGACAACAGGGACCGAGTTGATCTTGTGGGCGATGGAGTTTGGATTGTGGCAGGCGCTGAGATCCAGCTCGCGAACGCCCACCTGGGGTTGGTACTGGATGAATCGGTTCGAATCCATTTCGACGGGTGAATAAAAAGGCGTGTTTGTTGGCTGATTAGAATTTTGACGGTGCCGTCTAGTTGTATATTTCCCTTTTGACCCTCGTGCCTCCAGGGTCCAGTCAAATCCAAGCTGAGAAGAGATGAGAAAGTCGATGCTGGTGATATTGGTGATGACGATGGGTATTGGGTATCTCAGATGAAGAATGAATATCGACAAAAGGTAAGATCAAGAAAAATAGTATATGATTATAGAAGAACAGCAAAGAATAAAAGATATTAGGGTGCTGCTCGAGGGTGGTGAGCAGGGAAGTAGATCGATGTGTGGATGGCGGAGAGGGACGAGGGCGTCCCGGGCAATAAGTAGGTGAAGCAACAGAGTATACTGCGAACCCGAAATGGGAAGACGGGTCTCGAATAAGGCTTGTGAAGCAAGAATAGAAATAGGGAAGGGAAAAAACGTGGAGAAGGGTAGCGAAGGATTCGACTTATTATTATTCTGACATACATACACTGGCTGGTTTGCCGGCAACCTTTGCTCAGTCGCTGCTGGATGATCTGATGCATCCACCAACAGGGCCCAGACAGGACCCCAGCCAACCAAGAACCGATGGATGGGTCCTGGACCCCCCGGGCGCAGTCACTGGATCAAGCCTAGCGAAGCGTAGTCGCGTCTCACTCGCAAACGAGACGCTCTAGTCTGCCGTGGCGGGCAGCGTTCTGCAACAGACATCCTAGACGCCGGGGCCGGGATTGGCCCAGCGGGCGTCTAAGGCTCTAAGCATTTCTGGTGTGTGCATTGCATGCATGCATTGTGTCGTGTGGGGTGTTTGTCTTGTCCGTGTGTCCGTTACGCCGCATCGACTGACTTGGCTAACGACCAACTCGTCCTTAGCATGTAGATAGTGGAACGAGCGCACATGGAGTTATTGCGCCGTGCTAATGATGCTACGCACTAGCTTCTTCATGCCCTCAGCTGCCCGTATCGTGCCTCTGGATGTGGAGGGACGTACGTAGGATGGGCAAGGGACCGCTCCCCTGCCTCGTCATGGTTGTGGTTTTAACCACCGAGAAGGTTTCCCATCCGTTTCACCATTGCATCTTGACGTCGGTAGTAGACCAGTGGCCGTTACCACAATCGGCCAAGAGATGCTCTATCATATCACATCCTTGTTGGTTGCGCCAAGGCGGGCGGTCCTCCACGCCCCCACCACCCAAGTCCCTCCCCTTTGGGCTTGCAATTTTTTTCGCTTCCTCTTGATTTCGAGGTCATCATGTGCTGCTACAGCTTGAGCTAGGCGGACAGGTTATAGGGACTGAGCTTGCCACAGAGAGCATGGCGTGCCCTCTATCGCTTCGCTTGGCCAAGACGAGTAAAAAGGGGGAAGGGGGCCTCACAAGACCAATGGGATAGCAACTATTGGCAAATACGGAATTGCCTATCAGCCTCAAAGAGTCCAGGCTCTTTGGGGTGCCGTGAAACAACCCCAGCAGCAGCATTTCCCATTCCGAAAGCTACATGGTAGCCAGCTAGCTGATCCTACCGCCGTTCGGCAGGCCCATGCTCGGACGTAGTAATATTCAGAGTTTGCTCCAACAACGAGCGGATCCCCGGTCAACTCCATAATTCTGGCAACGGTATTGAATGGAATAAAGTGTAAATTACGTGGACGCCGACGTATGTGCCTGTATATGCGTACAAACTAGAAGGGTCATCATCCTGTTTAGGCATTGCCGCCATCACGTCGGTTTACCCGAACACTGGTTGGCTTGCAGCTCAACAGAATGGCAATAGATGGCATGATTGTCCGTTGGTCCAGGAAGAAGATGTGGTTGGTTGATGATAAGCCGCATCTGTGCAGAGAGGGCAACAAGCACACCCTTTTCTTGCGCGCCAAGAGCGTTGGTCGGCCACTGGTATCCCTGCGCTAGTTACATTGAGACATCCGCGGGATCCCAACAGTCTGGTGCGTCTCTGATAACGGAGGGTTATTTTTCTCATTCGTTGCGGGCGAGCAAGCATGTGAGTGAATATGTGCGTGTGTGTGTGGGCGACCAGGGTCAGTGGTGGTGATTGTGAGGGGGAGGGGAGGACAGGCCAGTGCTTGTGTCCATCACAAGCGAATCAGCTGCCGCGGCGGAGGTGGACGGCTGGTTCCAGCAGTTGATAGAGATGATGGAGGGCTGGGAGTGGTTGGGCGAGGGGTCAATTGTCGCTGATCTGACATGGCATGCGGGCAGGGCGCACCGCTTGCATCATGTTGCGACGACATTGTCTGGATGCAGCGTTGCATGCATTCTGACCTTCGTGTCTGTAGAGTTGCAGCAACCCCACGAGAACTGGCGGGATGCCTGCAGGCTGTGTGGGTGGTGGCACCGTGGGCTGGACAGCACATCATACGCCGATGTGTTTGAGCCATTCTGGCGACTTGCGGGACACATCTGTCGCCATTCTATCTCACCACCACCACTACGCACACGGCTTTGTGAGAGCAGATAACGCACCGAGTTCGGGGAACTATGTTGAAGTCGATATAGGTACGATATCCAAAGCGCCCGTCATTGACGATAAGTCGTCCGGAGAGGACAGCGCAGTGCTAGATAGAGCTGGCCACTATAGATCAGCGGGCGCCAGTGTTGAGCAGTGCGTCATTGCAGCCCACTCAGGCACTGATAGAGGTTCGATCATCGACCGCTTCAGCCTGTAGCTCTGCAGTGGTTGAATCTCGCGATACGCTACGGCTCTCCTCTTTCCACCCCCGCACGCTCCTTTTTCTTTGGACTCTGACGAC